CATAGATCTAGATCTATATGGCTTACATCTACATTGCTATAGGGTTTGATACAATAACACAATAGACTATAGAATTGGAATATGAATCCTCCATCTAGATCTATCTATATATCTAGATCTAAATATAAATAATTAATTAAATAATTCACGCACCTAATGAAATGCTTATTTTTACCAATATTAATATAACAGCACAGCCTATGATAGGGTTTGACACAATAGAATTGGAAAATGAATCCTCCATTGAGGTCTATAATGATCTATATAAATCTAGATCTAGATCTAGAAATATAGATTCTATTAGAACAAGAGAGTCGGGCTTGAATGAATCCACACGATCTGAACAACTGAATTAGTCAACAAACGAAATTCAAAATGGCCGCTCGAGCACGAAACTGAAAGTAGATCATTTAAGTTGTCGTCCTTTTTCGTATTCGCATTTCTACTTAGGTTCCGACAATTATGTCGGAAACGCCGACGTCGGCAGTCGGCACGAAAACGAAAGTGCCGACGAAGCCGACGGGAGAAAAATGGGTCACTGGCAGTCGGCCAAGCCTCGCACTACGCACATTGACTGATACAGGCAGGCCTAGCGATAGCATCGGCCGATTCGCGGGTTGGGTCGCGATTGTCGGATTTCAGACGATTGTCGGCAAACATGCAGGTCTATCTATAATCTAGATCTAGAAGATCAAGTGAATAGGAATAGGAGGCCTTAAACGAGAAATCTGCATCCGATTCCGAACACTCGCACAGAGAGAGAGACTCAGCTGAGATTCTACGGAAAATAATTCACGCACCTGATGAAATGCTTTTTACCAGCATTACTATTACAGCACAACCTATGATAGGGTTTGACACAATAGAATTGGAATATGAATCCTTCATTGAGGTCTATAAATCTAGATCTAGATCTAATAAACAAGTAAGTCGGACTCTTAAGAATGAATCCACATGAACAGTCAACAAACGAAATTCAAAATGGCCGCTCTAGCACGAAACTGAAAGTAGATAATTTAGGTCGTCGTCCTTTTTCGTATTCGCATTTCTACTCAGGTTCCGACAATTATGTAGGAAACGCCGACGTCGGCAGTGGGCGGTCGGCACAAAAACGAAAGTGCCGACAAAGCCGACGGGAGAAAAAGGGGTCGCTGGCAGTCGGCCAGGCCTCGCACTTCGCTCATTGACTGATACAGGTAGGCCTAGCGATAGCATCGGCCGGCTCGCGGATTGTCGGATTTCAGACGATTGTCGGCAAACATGCAGGTCTAAATAATGGGAAAAACGGCATTCCTGCAGTATAATTATCATTATCATATTGGACAACTGCCAAAAGTATTCCGAGTATTTAATTTCCAAATTTTCAAAAATGTTCTGAGTAATGTTTTTCTCCTGAAAATTACTTGTCCGGACAAAGTACCATTTTGATTAGCTCCTGTTAAAAACCTTGCACAAGTGAACTTTAAACCAGATGATTGAAAAAAAAAAAAGAAAAAGAGAGAGAGAGAGAGAGAGAGAGAGAGAGAGAGAGAGAGACAGACAGACAGACAGAGAGAGAGAGAGAGAGAGAGAGAGAGTGGGGGGTGGGTGGGGAGTTCAACAAGATTCCATGAGGTGTTGAGGCCTGAGTAAGTCTCTCACCAGTGGTAGTGATGACTTGATGGATGGTCACTCCTGGCCTGAGTGGCTGACCACCAAACTGTTTGATCTTATCCCCACCATTCTGGGCTGGCGATGAGATGATAGGCCTCACACTAGCGATGGGCCTAACGATGGGGCCACGGCGGAATGCGGCATAACTGGAAAGGAGGCGTGGAATAAATTAGGACATTAAATTAAAAAACTAAACGATGCCACTTTTTCAATTGAAATAGCCAAATAATACAATTAATCTGTGGAAATCACATTGTATGTAATATAAACACTATCACAAAAGAATTTCATTTTTGTGAAAGAAAAAAATAAAGTATTTGAAAAGGGTAAGAATCAATCAACACAGGCTATTTCAGATGCAGGAGCCCATACAACCAGCAAGACTGGGTCTTTAAAAACATTTTTTTTTAAATTCAACATCAGAGCTGGATCCAAACCCAAGACTTCTACACTCTCTGAAGCAATAATGCTACAATTTGAACACACACACACACACATGCTGCAAAAGTAATTCAAGCTCAGGGAAACAAACAAACACAAACAGATATTACACTACCTTAGAATTAAAAAGTTCTATCCGAGATTTTTAGCTGTTTTGAGTTATTAAGACCATAAGTCAGAAACCAGCTACTTTCTCTACTCTAATCAAAATCATCAGATTATTTGGAGTCACTGTCAAGATATTTAAAGAATTACATTCGAATAAGCTTGACGTGTGAAACTCAAAAATTTTAATGTAAAATTTCTCAAAACTAGGTACGGAGGAGATAGAACTTTGTAATTTTGAAGAAGTGATTCAACAGCACTGATAATTTGCCCCTCCCCTCCATTTGGTGAGTTTCACTTACTTGTACCTGCTATTCAGAGGCAGACGGTTGGGTAGACCACCACTTTGAGGGTAGTAGGCAGCATACGAGGGCCGGGTGTATGTGATATTCATCCGCTTGTCACGAGCATAACCTTCTTTGGCCAATCTTTTTTCCCGCTTGGAAAGTCGTAGCTCTTTTCGGTCGATGAGTAGAGACTCATGTGTAAATGGTTGCTGAAAAAATAAGAACGTATATTTAGAGTCATTTATCAACATATGCATCACTTCTAGAAAATAAAAAGCAAGGCATCGATGTGATAACGTGTCCACTCTCTTCATAAATGAATAATCTTAACAGAAATGTGTTTCCAGACAATTAGAAAAATGCAGAAAAAATCCAACTATAGACAGAATGTCCCTCTCTAAAATGAAATTACAAACAAAACTACAGATAAAGATGTCTTCAGTGTTATAAGTCACAAAATGCTAATTTAGTGGGACCACTCTTCAGGAAGAGACATATAATGAATATATCAAGTCTATCGGATTTAGCAAATGACAAAATTTATATATATATATATATTTTCTTTTTTCTTTCTCTCCCCCCCCCCCCCCCCTCCCCAATGCAAGTAGCTAAATTCTTCTCAAACAGAAAAGAGTTCTAAATCTGTACACAGGTCTCTCAACAATGCTATTTCATATGAACCAGCTAGTTTCTTGCTTTTACTGTCAATGTGACCATATTGAGGTTTAGTTCGAAGCAAGTCATCACAGTAATGACTGCATTCTCCCAGGACAAATTTAGACAAAAGCAATACTAAAGAAGAAAGAGTAGACCATATCAGAATGCCAAACAACCATTCAGTTCCAGGTACATGTGAGTCTACAGACTTGGCAGGCAATCTATCAAGGACATGGACAGTCATGAGCGAAACTTGATCCACTCCGGTCACTTGACGCAGTTCTGCAACAGGCCTGAGAAGTCTGTTGCAGTCACTCTCTTGGCTGGGTGACCAGATGGGGTATTTTGTACTGCTGGATGTGTGACTGCAAAATGTCACGTCAAGTTATAATATATACCTTGGTGAGCCACTGGCCGTTGTTCTGCAGCACACGCACTAAGACGTCGTCAGTGCTGTATTTGCCGTCCGCCGTTGAGAAGTCAAGCACCGGGAAGTCTTGATCCTGACAGAAAATACAACCAGGCATCCATCACAATCCAGTTTTTTGTTTTAGTAAGAGTTTTACGGCACTAGCAACACAACTATAGTGCGGTAAAAAATTTGTGGTGCAACTCATCCTCAAATATCTCTTTAATGGGTGAACTAATGTCGCCCATACTTTGCAGTTTGTATCAATTGGTCTTAACTTAATCATATTTTTTAACAAAAATTGAAGCTAGATTACAAAACTTTTCTTCATAAATTTATATAAAATACTATAAATCTCCTTCACACGGAAAATGGGATTGTTCACAGCACTTCCCGCTTCTCCCACATATTTTACATGTACGCATATGGCCTACGTCACTGCTCACCAATGACACTTTTTAGGGGCAAAACTTCTAACAAGAAATTAATGCTATAGTGAACACATTTTTTGCACTAAAGGTTCTCAAAACATACGTTCAATAAGCTAACGACGCGATTAGAAAAAAATAGCAGACTTGCTTTTAAAAGCGATATTGTCCCAGCAGTAAACCTTTTAAAATCTGTAGAAACCACCCACTGGAAATTTTTAATTTAGCATTTATTAAGGGGAACTAGGTACAGCTGAAGTGAAAATTTTTTTGGGGCTCTAAATTAAGTATACTGGGATTCCCAAAAACTAATATGGGTCAAGAAACAGAAACACACTATCCCTAAATGATTTTACTGTCAATTTAAAAACATTTTTAGATGCAAAGGGTTCGACAGACCAAAACTCGCGCAAATTGTGTGAAGGGATTCTGAAAAAGATTGCATTGATACAGCCTTGATATTATCACACAGTGTTTGTGTATATACAACCTGCAATGTACTAAAGATTTACTTCCCTAAGTCTCATACTTTTCTTGTAACTGCCCTTTTAGTGTCATATATGATACTTGGACAAAAAAATGATCACAAATCAGAGTGATACTGTCAATCTTTTTTACACTGACAGAAAACTTATTACAATATCACAATACTCTTTTCGTACGTTGCAAACATATTATCTAGAGACAGTCATGCAAAGTGGGATTGAGCTGTGACATGTTCTTTCAGAAATATCTCTGCACAGGTGACCAATCCCCCAAAGAAAATCATAGTTTTGAGAAAACTTAAAAAACCCCGAATTCATACCGGTCTATTACAATACAATGTTAAAAAACATGACATATGCGAGCACTTCTAAAACATCTATAGTTTTAGACACTTGAAAACAGTTCCAATCGATAAAGCAGATGTTGCTCTACTAGAGTAGTCCAAAATCAAAAAATCGGTTTTAGATTGGCTGTTGGCTGCCGCCGTGGTGTACCAGAAGGAACTGTCTAGAACACAGCTAACAGGTGTTTACAAAAATATAGATCTGTTAAGATAAATTGATACAAGTATTTAGGAAATATTTGACAATATGTTGCACCATGAATTTTTTACCACACTACAAGTCGTTTAAGTGCTGAAGATCAGAGGAGCTACAAAAGAGTAATATACACAAAAAAGAAGGAAGAGAGATGAGGAAGATAGATGTTTGATAGAAAAAAAGGAACAACCCCCCGCCAACCATCCACATATCATCACAATACAGCCCTAAAGATTAAATCTAACACTCACAGAAATGGTTATGCAGCAACACAATGTGCAAACAAGACAAGACCTCTCACATGAAACCTAGAATCTACCCAACTTCTTTTTCAGACATTGATCAAATATGATAAAATGCCAAACAATATCCTTAATGTGCCAGGATCTGGACAATTAAGAGGTATCTTATCTTAATATGAACTTCTTTTATACACCCTCGTTAATCATTGTAAATTCCAGTGCATATGTCACTATAGACATTGGCAATAACATTTTCATGCACAAATATGAACGCATTCATGAGGAAACACCGGTTTCTGGATTTACCAGAAAAAAACAAACTATTATAATTGAAAAAATTCTTCATCACAGAAAAAACATGCGTTGCAAGTACCTCAAAATCCAACAAATTCTCCACTTGTTTGCGGGTCAGTTTGTTCTCTGGGTTCATGTCATCAACAATACGATCTGAGAAGAGGAATAAAAAAGGGGTTATAACAAAGAGAAAACAAGAAAGTTGTCTCAGATAGAATATAAAATATGATTATTTCACAAAAAATGGCAAAATGCATAATTTTGTAAATAACTGGATAACCTTTGTTTCTAATTGAAAAGACTGAAAATGTAAGTTAAGATTTATTAACTGTGAAGGATTTTTTTTACTACAAGTCAGTCCAAATTTCATTAGATGGAGAAGGCTTCTTCTTCCTTCCCACGACACATCTCTGAAGAAATCAAAAGAAGGTTATTCAACCTATGCTTCTATTTTTTCAATTAGAATGTGTCCTTCACCTTAAAATAAAGGCATCCACATGCAGAGGTACTCTTATTCATTATTACACTGAAAAGGCTTTCTTCTGTATTGGGTAGGGATTAATAGCCAACTTTGCATGCAAACGTGGTCAGCCAAATCAAGCCTGCTCTTCTACATTACACTACCAGGGTGTCATAAACATACGCAAAAACCACACAAGACAAAGAGTTTTTGTCTTAATCTGAAAAGAAAAGTGGGTACTTAATTTCACCTACCCCGGAATCAGGAGCACAAAAAAATATGTTTGGGTGCCTGAAGAAAGGCACCAAAAGTCGGGAGTTTTACATTCTTTAGATAACGGAGGTTTCTGGTTGATAACCCAATGCTGAGCATGTGGTCTTTTATTTAATTTTTCAGATATCCAAGTTGTATCTGAAACATTGCACATTTTGTGAGGTAGCAAATAAAGATACAATTTTTAAAAAACAGGCTTTAAAGTTTTACAAGCACTACACTGTGAAGACATCAAAATGGCAAACAATTCAACAATGCGTCAGTAATGATCGATTTAAGTGACTTTTTATTTATTTAAAAAATTTTTAAAGAATACCATACCATCAAAATAATTCCAAATGAAATACAGTAGTCTCCGCCTAAGATCCCATCGCTTACGATCCCGGTTCGCTTAAGATCCCGCTGATTCAAGAAAACAGAATTTTTACTATACAAAAGTCACCCCTAAGATCCCGCTCTGATTCACTCTGAAGGTCTACATTCGGCTAAGATCCCGCATTTCAGATCATAATTTGCGGAACAAAAACCCGGGCGGGACAGCCGATCAACCAAGAGTGAAAATTTGAGATCAATAAACTGTCCGTCGCATCAAAGATCAGCTACTATCGTGAATGTGATCACATACACGTTGTAAAACTCGATGAAGCGATACAATGTTTGCCCCAGACGGGATCACACCGGGGTGTGAACTGACCGACACGTTTGTTTTCCCCGAACATCTCACTCACACCTGAGTTATCCCCATAAACTTACATCACTCATTGGGTGGGTAGGGCCTACACGTTCGCTCCTGGCGGGATCACATTGAACTGTGAACTCTTCCCTGACCATTGGAGAAGTTGTTTCTACTCCCGAATTTGCGAGACAGACTGAATTTTAATTGGTGTGTTCACAACGTAATGGTGTGTAACGACAAAGGCGGTTGGGGTAGATGGAAATCTATAAATTTTCGACAGGTAAGTGGGAGGGGAGGGGCAACTTGATAAGCGTAGATCTTGAGCCTCATGATAGGATAATAAGTGAAAATGGCACGCCTCATCCCACTATGCCCTGTGATAGGTCATCAAGGTTAACCACTCTTTGCTCGCCAAACGTCATAAACCCACCAAGTGGTCACGTCAGTTCATTTTAGAGTGGAGGGAGACCATTTTACCGATTGTAAGCCTTAACATGGGTCACCATAGATTCTTCCCTGGGTTCGTCGGTTAAGATCCCGGTTCGCCTAAGATCCCGCTTTTCCTTGCTCCCGAGCACCGGGATCTTAGGCGGAGACTACTGTACTTAGAAGTCAAATCAATATAAGTCAATCTTACCAGACATTCCCTGTTTGTTGATCTGACGGTCATAAATTCTTTTCTCCAGCGTGTTGTCTGTGATAAGCCGATACACGTACGTTTTCTTTATTTGTCCAAAGCGATACACACGACAGATGGCTTGGCAGTCGTGGCAGGGATTCCATGAAGCATCCACCACAATGACCCGATTGGCTGCCACCAGGTTGATACCAAGACAACCAGCCCTAATGAGAGGAAAACAGATGAAAAAAGATGAAATGGAATAGGTTTAATGTACTTATTAGGTTAAACGACCAAATTGAAAGTGAAAGACACTGTTTACATTTTCACATAAAAGAGAACATCCGGTGTGGGTTAGCTATTGTTGAATATTAGTTGTTACGAAAAATTTATATTTTGTATTTTTTAAAAAAATTTTTGCACGAATTCCCACGGAAATTTTTACATGCAGATATCCACAAATATATGGAAAACTGGAAGCACTGAATAATAAAAACCTTTTGGCTCAGGGTTGGCAGCAACAAGTGTTCTATTTTCTCACCAAAAAACACCTCATATTCTCATAACAAAAGAGTTAGTAGCTAAAAAGAATTTTGTGAAATCCTGTGCTACAAAAAGAAAAAGTGCTGGTCAAAACATTCAGAAGATAGAACTGACCAGTGTACACTGGCCCTAATAAACAGAGAAACAACAACGAAAAGCCCCTCTCACTTTGTAGACAATAGAAACATCCATGCTCTCCCCTCTGGATCATTGAACTGGTTGATCAGTTTCTCTCTGTCCTGGGCCGATGTGCTGCCGTCCAGTCCTAGAATGATAAAAAGAAGGTCTTAGTTTTGGTAGGAGTTTTACTGCACTTGCAACACAATAAGGTAATATAAGTGCCGAAGATTACAGGTGGTACAAGAGAGTAACAGACACAAAAAAAGGAGGAAAGAGTACGACGATAAGTGTTTGATAAGAAAAAAAAAAGGCACCACACCAGAGCACCCGCCAACTGCCCACATTTGGTACTCTGGTAACATGGGAAAAAAATAAGGAGCAGGATAGACCAGATAGCCCATCAAACTGAAACTTATAGAGATAAAGAGTCAAGAAGGTACAAATTGTACAAGCACTACAAAGAAAGGTATGTACGATATCCCTAAAAACACTAGAACTGAGATGAAAACATTTGAAGTCTGATTTAAAAAAGGGTCATATAATGGTTCAAGATGCTTGGTCAATGAGACATAATGAAGTAAAAGAAACAAAAAAACTCATTTAACAACAAAAGGGTGATAAACAAATTAAGACAGGCCTGAGGATAATCACTACATCCACATACCAAATGAATCAAATTAATCACCGTCTAACTGAATGGATTAGAAATTCAAAATAAAACAAACAAACAAACACATCAAACATCAGTTGGTTTATGATGTAAAAGGCAGACACGAGCTAAAAAAAAGAGTCAAAAACAGCTATTACCATTCCAACCATCACAACTCATTCAATAAAAGTATTCTTGAATATGAAATATGACTCGCTAAAGTAAGTTTTGTTCCATCACAACTCATACAATAAAAGTATTCTCGAATAACAAATATATGACTTACTAAAATAAGTTTTATTCCTAGCCCAGTTTTCATAAAACTCAGGTCGTGGAACCTTCATATGTCCTAAAAATTCTTCAATCTTGTTCAGAGTCAGCAAACTTTGACTGTGGAATAAAGAACAAACAACATGTACTGATCAGAGAAAAAGGGTAAGATAATGTTATCAAATGTCAAGTCATCTCTCTCCTTCACCGTCCTTCATGTTTATTTAATTATTCTACGAGTACAAACTGAAAAATTACCATAAGAAAAACTGACTGACTAAACACAAAATGTGACAATATTGAGTTGTGAACAAAGCGCATTAAAAGATAAATGAGCTGGGTTAAAGAAAGAAATCACCACACAAATAAGGAAAGTACCTGTCAGGCTAGTTAGTTTTAGTAGAGGTTTTACTGCGCTCGCAACTGCATAAAGTCATATGAGCGCCAGAAGATTAGAGGTGTTTCAAGAGAGTAACAAACATAAAAAAAGAAGAAGGGGAGATAAGGAAGACAGATGTCTGATAGAAAAGAAGAAGCAAACCACACCAGAGCACCTGCCAAAAACCCACCCTGTCAGGCTACCTAAATGAAAAGCAAGCAAAGCTGAAGACAGATAGTAATAGCCAAAAAAGGTCACGGAAAAAAGACAGATACAAAAAGCACAAGGACAGGTAAGACCATCAGAGGAGCCCTTAAACATATCACTCTAAAAGAAGTAAACCTATATGCCCCTTTCAGCAATATTTTTTTACATCTAAACGACAAGTTTCGCACCGTGCCTGTCTCTAAGAGTGATTTAAAACCTGTCTAAACAGCATGAGTTATAACTCTGGATACCAATACAGTGCTGTAGTAATGAGTCTATCCAACAAAACAAAAGACAAGCTTGAATACAGACACACAAAGTGAAAGGGGAAAAAAAGCAATGGCTACTCATCATTCTTTGATTCACTCTCCCTCCAACAACAAGCACGTGGGGGGTAACTTACCTAAAAATGAGCACTTTGTCCCCTACAGCTAGGCATTCCTCCAGTAGAGAATTCATCAAAATGAATTTGCCGCTGTTCTCCAACACCCCAGCCATGTAGTCCTTCATTAGGGGTTCAGCCTGAGGAGACAAGACATTACGTGAACAATCAAGCATGTAAGTGCACAAGTGACAAGTTGAGGAAGATATTAATGATGGTGCCAAGGGTCACTAAAAAAAAGTTCCAGCACTCCCACCATAAAACTTAATAGGCAATCAGACTATCATAGGATAGCAGTCTTTCTCAAATGAATATTGGAGCTGCACTGTTCAACACCAGATGAATTTTGGATAATACAAGTTCAAATCTTGCCTAAATCTATCTATAGCTCTTGCCTAGTCGCTTTCATAACAACAACAGAACTAGACGGAACCATGCTATTTTATATAAAATATGTTTATACAAAACAGCAAGACTGCAAATCAAAGTGAACTTATGTTATATCGTAATTGAAACCTTTCCAAATGCAAACCAAGGATACCTGCACGACATTCAAGTGTCTTAGTTTGCCTGAAAAAAATCGAGTAAGTGTGTGCACGGGCTTTGCGGGAGTGCATGCATGCGTGTGTGCATGTGTGTATATCTGTTTGTGTGTCCATATATGGATTACATGATTTTGGACTTGAAGAGAGAAGTGAACTTGAACTTTCATTAAATATAAATATCCTTTATAAGATCTTGTCCCCTACCCAGTCATAAGTAATTGGGTTCTTGTCACTGCTGCTCTCTGAGGCCATGGAAGTGAGTGATGTAGTGGACGCAGAAGGGGTGAGGGTAGTAGGTGTGGAGGGTGCTGGGGTGTTGCTAGCTGAAGCCATGGACATCGCCGAGTCTGCAGAAGCAACAGAGGCTGAGGAGGCCGACTTGGAAAGGGCAGCTCTTTTCTTTTTGCTGCCACTGCCGCCTTCACCGGTTTCTATGTCCAAATCATTGTCCTTGTCAGCTATGTGCTGCGTCAGGACTTCATGAAGGATATCTGGGTGATTCCAGATCTGCAAAGGAAAAAACATAATAAGTTGATCAGAAGACCTCAAATCACTGAAAATGAGACCTGGACACGAAATCCATTATCAGAGCTTCCAGCAGCTGATGTCATTTTTCGAGGATTTTCTGGTCCATGCCGGAGCCCTGACATGGGGTTGAAGAGGGACCCCTTAGGTTTGAGAATTTTTGGTTTCAGGGCATCGTAAGTATGCCATTTCTGGTTATTGAAGCCTAAATTTAACAAGAAAATAAGTTTTTTTTTAAACATACCTTGCATACATAATTTTCTGCTTCTGTTAATCCATATAGTAGGCCTAAATCCAAAGCCATGCTTTCTCCCTTGTACCTATACTGTACATCCACAACAGTAGTATAACAGCTCGATCTATAAAACTTGACAGTTTATGTTCAACTTTTTTCTGCTTGTGTTGGTTTGCACCATAATGGGTAGATCTAGAATCCTTATAATAATAGTATAACAGCTAGACCTAGATCTAAATAACTTGACAGCTTGTATTCAACTTAAATCCACAACAATAGGCCTACTTAGATCTACAAATAAACAAGTCTGGTAAAAAAAATCAAGCTCTCTTCGGAGTTTTCTTTTCTTGGCAGGCCCAAGATCTATTGAACCACAATCGTCATTTCTTCCTCTTGTTTACAGTGCTGCGGTGCTCTTCTTGTGCTTTAGAAAGTGAAAGTAAAAGTAAAAGACACTGTATACACTTTCAAATAAAAGAGCACTTCTGGTATGGGTTGGCTATTGTTGACTACATGTATTAGAATCTAGTAATTACGCAAACTTTTTATTTCGCATTTTTGAAAATAATTTGTTTTAAGGTTTTTTTGGGCACAAATTTTCCAGGAAATTTTTCCATTTGCGGAATTCTGCTAATTTGCGGAAATCCGCAAAATTGCAGAAGACTGGAAGCACTGATTATAATCAATTTTATCCCCCCCCCCCAAACAAATTCCAACCCAATCCAAATACAGTAGAACCTGCTTTAACGATCACCTGTTCCAGACAATCATTGTACAAACAACAATCCCCACCCCCCCGCACTTTTTTCTATACATTGCAACAACACTGTTCAAAAGCACACCTAAGCCAAAACACACATATCTGTCTTGCATAAAGTGACAGTTTATGTATCACCTACCTTGCAGCAGACGGCAAAAGCTTTGAGAGGGTTGTTGTTGGCCCAGGAACACAGGCCAGACTCTGAAATGGCATTCATAAACTCAACGTAGATCTTCCTCTGTATAGGACTCAAGCGCACAAGGAACACATGCTCCATCTTGGGTGGGAGACTTAGTTGAAGCACAGTATGACCACGTCTGAAAAAGAGAAGGTCAAAAAAATAAATCAAACCCATGTGTTACTCCATGACTAATTCAATCTATGAATAAAAAAAACACTCATACCGCAGATTAGAACTTAACTAAAAAAAAACAAGCAGATTGATAAGATAAAATAACATTTCAGGATAATACTGAAAGCAATAATAATATCAAGAAAATTATTTTGCATCAATATGGTAAACTGATAATAGACCTGCATGTGAGCCTCAACCAGATTGTCTGAAAATTTTGCGCAACCCCCCCCCCCAAAAGCCTTTGTGGGTGTCATAATGAAGAACATCCGAGTAACGAGCGACCATCCCAACAAACACAATAAAGAAGAGACCTAACCGTAACCCTACCCCCAAAAAGAACCTGCAACGGGCATCATGTAAAAAGGCCAAAACAAGTCCTAAATGTTAAAAAAAAATTTAATTAAAAAACCACACTCCAAAACAAACAAGGAGCATATAGATCTAAATCTAGATTCTAGATCTATATATGGCTTACATCTACATTGCTATAGGGTTTGATACAATAACACAGTAGAATTGGAATATATAATATGAATCCTTCATATATATATCTAGATCTAGATCTTGTAGAACAAGTGAATAGGAATAGGCCTTGAACTAGAAATCCGCATCCGATTCCGAACAGAGGGACTCAGCTGAGTCTAGATTCTAGATCTAGATCTAAATCTAGATTCTAGATCTTTAATAAATAAATAAACAATTCACGCACCTGATGAAATGCTTATTTTTACCAATATAAAGATTACAGCACAACCTATGATAGGGTTTGACACAATAGAATTGGAATATGAATCCTCCATTGAGGTCTATAATGATCTATATAAATCTAGATCTAGATTCTATTAGAACAAGAGAGTCGGACTTGAATGAATCCACACGATCTGAACAATTGAATTAGTCAACAAACGAAATTCAAAATGGCCGCTTGAGCACGAAACTGAAAGTAGATAATTTAAGTTGTCGTCCTTTTTCGTATTCGCATTTTCTACTTAGGTTCCGACAATTATGTCGGAAACGCCGATGTCGGCAGTCGGCGGTGCGCGCGTCGGCGGTCGGCACGAAAACGAAAGTGCCGATGAAGCCGACGGGAGAAAAATGGGTCATTGGCAGTCGGCCAAGCCTCGCACTACGCACATTGACTGATACAGGCGGGCCTAGCGATAGCATCGGCCGGTTCGCGATTGTCGGATTTCAGACGATTGTCGGCAAACATGCAGGTCTATGATAAATTATTTGTGTTAGGTCATGGTCATGTAAAGCAGATTCACATGACAATGATCAATTACTGACGAGACAAATCAAGACAGACAGAAGCCGTGGGATAGCCAGGAGATGCACTCTATGACCACTCAAATTGCATTTAAAAAAGAACAAGCAATATGCGTAAGTATCCACAACGGGACACCCAACAGTCAGTTTCACCCCATCTGAAGGCGGCAATGACGTATTCTTTAAATTACCATAACGAAAAATTTCAGTGGGGAAACAGTTGAAAACAAAGCAAGCCTACTGTTATCAAAAGCACTCCACCTACAAGTTAAGAATCAATGATGAAACTCCATTCCCCCCCACCCAAACGTAACAGCTCATTGATGCTATGCAATTTTTACAAAGCAAAATTAATATTGGTCCATTACACATGATTGTTTCAATTGCTCACTACAAAAAAAAAGTATATCTTAGAGTAACCTAGTTAAGTAATTAATTTCAACAAGGATAACAAACATTGAGTGCAGGTGTGAACTAAAAAATACCACATTCAGCGACTCACCTCTGGACAAAACCTTCCAAAAGGTTATGTAGTACATATGAACGATGTCGCATGACCTTCTTGTCCTGGACTGTACTGTCCATACACTGGCCATTCATGATGGGCCGCTCAAACATGTTGCTAAACTCCGTCTTGGTACCCAGGAAGTTGGGACGGACGAAATCTACCATGCACCAATACTCCATCAGATTGTTCTGTAGGGGGTACCCTGTGAGTACCACACGCCGCCTGAACAAAAAGACAAAGCAAAATTATTAACTTCAATGCCATAGTTAATACAATGAGGATAAAGGAACAACTCACACCACAGTCAATGGTTTTACCAAAAGCCTAGAACCTTTCAAACACATATTTTTAAAAATATATATACCTGCATCACAACTCGAACTACCCACTCACTTTTAATAGACCACAACTAGTATATATATATTTTTTGTTATTCAAACAAAACGCAAGACTGTTAGAAAAGATTCTAGAACATAACCCTCACTTCTCACCTCGTCTTGATATTTTTCAAAGCTTGTGAGATGGCTGCACTGCTGTTCTTGATACGATGCCCCTCATCACACATGACCAAGTCTGGACCAGGGTCCACCAGAGTCGAATGCATATCTGTACAAGAAATAACCCTAATGAAATAATGACACAAACAAATTCAACATCTCCATGAACTGTTTTAACAGCAGTTTTATTTCTTCTCTGCTAAAGCTCAGGGGAAGCAAAATTTACAGCTGTATTTTCTTGCAATTATGTCCCAAGATTGACTTGAGGTTGTCTGTACAACCACTTTTCAAACAATACAGTACTGTTCCACACTGGCGCGGTGTCTTTTCAAAGTTACTCTTCAGTATCTTTAGCCTCTTTTCTTAATTCACACTTTTTCATAGTAAAGCAGACCTACAAACTGAGAAAAACCTGCATGTGAGTTTTCCATCTGTGTCTCAGAAGACTAAGAGACAGAAGGTACCTACCCTTAGTTCAGGGTATTTTTTAAAAAAGAGCCAAATTACCCTTTAACTTCAGACTATGCCTGTAATCCCTCAAATCCATTCAAACAAAAGTCATTACAATCCCAAGATTAGCTCCATGCATAACCTCAATGCTACATTTTTTTAAAGCTAGAAATAATAAATACTTACATCAATTTTTATTTTACTAAAAAAAAAAAAAAAACACCACACGCTATGATGTGGAGGCTGATCATTTGAACACTCGAAGTGATCAATTCATTAACAAAATACAAAGGGAGTAATTGCCAAGGGAAGAGAATACCAAAAACAACAAAAATAACATCAAAACTTGACAGAAAATGTAAAAAAAACAACAACTGAATGACACACAGTTAAAAAAAATAAAGACAGAAGTTCAAGGAATGCCATTTTCGCTTATCATTATGTATTGACAAGAAAAACAACTCAATGCTACACATATCATTTCAACAGAACCAGAACTACTTCATTTAAACAGTAACTGACCAATCATAAGGCTTTTGTTTTTATCTTCTTCTTCCACATCGATCACTTCAGGTTGGGCAGGTTTCTTGGCACGACTCTTCGCCTTTGATGGAGCAGTGCGTTTTGATGACAGGAGACGGAACATTTCGTAGCCCATGACCAACACACCACCAAAGTCTTTCCATTTTTCTGAAAAGGCAGAAAAGAAGAAGAAATCAGTGTTTGCAGTATGCATAATGGACACATTCAATTCAAGTAAAACATCTGGTTGAACAAGTGCTTCCAAAACTCTGTGAGTGCGCGCGCGTGTGTGTGTGTGAGCACGCACATATGACCAGAGCTGTTAAAGTACTTTTAAAAAGGTACTTAAGTACAAATTTAAGTACAATCTAAAATATGTACGTAAGTACAGTAAAAGTACTTTTTTAAAAAGTACTTATAAGTACATTTTGAGTACTTTCTGCTAATATGCTAAAACACTTCAGTGCTAATGCAAAACATCATATTGAATAACATATTCAGTATATATAACAAATTAGGCCATTTATTATTAGAAATGTAAACAGGATACAAAGCATTTGAATACATGTACACGCACTGAACGTAGGAGGAAATGGTCCGTGAAAGTGAAAAAACAACAAACAGACGCAACTAGTGAGTAAGTAATATTACGAATAGAACGTGTTTGAGCAAGACAATATGATCAAATGTAAGTCAGTCCAAGAGGTCGGAAAATTCTACAGGAAAAGTATCCAAATTGGAAACTGTAGAGACAAAGTTGCTCTTAAGAAAACATAAAATTGAAGAAAATGGCCAGCAAAGAAATGTAAGAGTGCATTCAATTCTTCATTAACAAATCCTCAAGGAATCAAGGTAGCCTGCATAAACCACAAAAAAAAGTTTAAAAGTAATTTAGGTAGCCTAAAAAATTGTTAGATATATACATTGAGAGCTCAGTTTCAGTTTCAATTGATTATAATAGTGGTAAGACAGACTTTGGTCACACTATGTGGTCCACGGCCCCCACGGCAAACCAAAATACATGCAGTTTCCCAGAGTCCAGTAAATGTAGTGTAACCAAAGATTCTCTACTACAGTAGTCTCCGCCTAAGATCCCAGTGCTCGGGAGCAAGAAAATACGAGATCTTAGCCGACGAAGCCAAGGAAGAATCTACAGTGACCCATGAACTGATGTGACCCCTGGGTGGGTTTATGTCATGATGGCAAGCAAAGAGTGGTCAACCTTGATGATCTATCACAGTGGCATAAGGCATGCCATACACTCATTAGCCTATTGTGAGTCTCGAGATCTTTATCTACGTTTATCCATTTGCCCCTCCCCTTTACCTACTATTACGCTGTGACCACACAAATTAAAATTCAGGCTGTCTCACAAATTCGGGAATAGAGAAAAACTGCCTTCAATGGTCAGGGAAGAATTCACAGTTCCATAGCTGCCACTCTGGAATTTCAAAAAAGGAGGAAATTCATGCGAAGGCGGACGCACACTCTCCGAAGGCCGTAGTAAAACCAGTGAGATCCAGAGGCAATATGTACAGGAAAATCTAGCCTACGGTTTTGGAAGGGAAAACTGTCATATTTGTTAACCATAGGCAACTGAATTAAAATGTACTTGAAAAAAACAAAAACAAAGGCATTAAGTTGACTAACAATGAACAAGCATTTGAGTCACTTTGGCACAATTTGGACTTGGTGACTAAAAATCCAGTGTTTGTTGCCAGCTGGTGTCTTATAAAAAGACTTCTTTCACTTTATCCTTGTACATCGATGTAGAGCGCGCGCAGTATTGGATCAAGGAGGCAACACCTTTGCCGCTGTACTGAGGGATTTTGGCACTCCTGTATAATTGCGGTCCCGTTTGCACTGAACTTAGTAGTGCCCCTGTAGTGTGTAGATCTAAACTGAATTAAAATTATAGCCTAGGCTATCTAATCTAGATCTAAAATCTAGATATCTAAATATGTGTAAATCTACATTATATCTAGAGATAGATTATCGAGATCTAGATCTAGATTCACTTCAACAGCCACAATAGCCGTCATGTAAACAAACGGGACCGCAATTGTACAGGAGTGCCGTGGGCCGCGATTTCTTTATTAAATCGCACCAAACGCAAGGTGCAGCAAGCGGCTTGTTCAATTTTCTAATGAACTTTTCAAGTCGCACACAGGCTGCTTCTTTCTCATTCTAGCTCCTTTTATTTTTGCATTCTGCATCAATTTCTCTCGAATTTCTGCCGTTTTCAATGACAACTCGGCGCGCCAACGTCCCGATGCCAGATCGACACTGTGTTGCTCCACAATAAACAATGTGAAACTAGCGCTTGGCCTAGAAGAACGGAAGTAGAAAGCTACGGGCAGACATGCGGACATGCGAAAGCCGCGTTTTTCTCTCTCTCCCGGTTCGGTGTTTTCCGGTGTAAAAAAAAAAGTATCGCAATTTGCGATCGAGAGCGGTCCAGCGGAGGAAGGAGGAAAGAAGCGGGGAAAAGCTAGATGAAGCGGAGTTTCCGCTATTTAGCGGGAAAGTGGCAGCTATGCAGTTCGAAGTGATCTTGCCAGGAGCAAACTTGTAGGCCCTACCCACCCAGCGAGTGATGTAAGTTTAGGTGGCGAGCTCAGAAGCGAGTGTGATGTTTGGGGGAAAAGCAAGGGAAAAGAAACGCATCAGTCAGTTCACACCTCGGTGTGATCCCGTCTGGGGCAAACATTGTACTGTTTCATCAAGTTTTACAACGCTTGTATGATCACATTCACGAGAGTGGCTGATCTTTGATGCGAGGGGCCGTTCTTTGATCTCAACTTTTAACTCTTGGTTGATCGGCTGTGCCCACCCAAGTGTTTGTTCCGTAAAATATGACCAGAAATGCTGGCACTTACTCTTTCATTAAGCTTCAAAAGTACTCAAAATGTCTTTAAAAATGCTCAAAAGTACTTTTATAAAAAGTATCAGAGTAGAGTAAAAGTACTGGTTTTCAAAAATGTACCGGAGTACAGTAAAAGTACCGACAATTGTAACGTAAGTCGTTACAACCAGCTCTTCATATGACAGGGGGGCAGAAAGAGAGAGAGAGAGAGAGAGAGAGAGAGAGAGAGAGAGAGAGAGAGAAAGAGAGAGAAAGAGAGAGAAAGAGAGAGTCCAGGTGGGTAAAGGAAACATTTCAAAAAGGTGAATTCTTTTCAAAAGACACAAAATTTCTTAAATTCACGCAAAAGTTTTAGACTGGTTATACTGAAAACATCTTCCATGAAGCTTTGTAAACATCAACTCACGAATGACAGCAGCCCTGGCAGCAGTGGTCTTCATGCTGTCGTTGATGATGTACAACGGAAATATCCGGAACTGTGTGAGGTCATCATCTGGGTCAAGCTTCTCCTTTTCTGGCAGCCAGTAGTTGAACTCTGCAAGCCAGTTCTGCAACGTGTTGATTGGCACAATACATAGCACACGCTTGCCCCCCGCACAGCGAAGGAAAATGTCAATGAATGATATGAGCTGTGGACAGAAGAACAAAATTTTATTATTACAAAAATGATTAAAAACTACATTTGCTACACAAAAAGTAAATGAAACCAATAAAGGCTCTTTTCATTCATTAGTTTTGGAAAACAGATTACCAAAACGGTTGTTGTATCTAACTATTGTCTACATCATAGATAAAGAGCTTACATCCACCAGCTACAATGTACATGTTATATTCTCATCCTCAAAGGTCTGAAGAAAAAAAAAGGCGTCTGATGTTATCAATTAAGTAAAGATTTCTTATTCGTTAATCTTCTGTCTACTTGTTTGCAGCTGATTTTGGCTTATCAATACAATTCAGCACAAAATTAGAAAAGTATGTCCAAAAATACACAGTCGCGAACACAGAAGTATTTACATACCTGAATCGTTTTTCCTAATCCCATGCTATGAGCCAGAATACAGCCAAAGCCAGGCGTTGTGCGGAATCGCTCCATGGACTCGACAAGATTGCCATATAAAAAGCGAACACCTCCAATCTGAAAAAAATAAATAAATCAAACAAAAAAATTATAAAAGATGCATAAACATCATCACGTATCCAATTCATGCGTATAATTTCATCAACCAGACTGCTTTTGAAACAAGACGAAGAATTGAAAAAGGAGATTCATTCCTTTAATGGAGGGTTGAAACAACGAAACATCGCCATAAATTTCATGATATAATGCTCGACATCTTCATCTCTCACCTGATGGGGTTTGATAGACTGGGCAATCTGTGGGGCCAGAAAAATGTCTGGCTCATCTGCTGGGTGCCCCAGGTTGACTTTCACTCTTCCATCTGGGTCCGGCATGTTCAGAGTATCATCAATGTGAGCCCCACCGTTGTTCACATCCTCAGCTTCATCGTCGTCCTCCTCATCACTGGGTACCATCACCACTTCATCTGAATCGTCATCGTCAAGGTCATCGGAATCATCCGTGTCACTGCTAAGGGTGATCACATCTAAAGGGAGGAAAAAATAAATACACCAAAAAAAAATTAACAATTTGTACAATACATTGCTCTTGTGTTGTAGAGTATTGCAAGGAGGTACTACAGCTATCAAACTTTACCTAAAGAGACTTCTCTCCCTGATCCAACAAAGTTGCCAATATCCAATGATTATCATTTTGTTCACATCACAAAACTAGTGCTACAAACCAACTGACTTGACTAGAGTAAAACACCTGCAGATACTTTACAACAACTTTCCACTTACGTTTTAGAGAAAACAATAATCAGGACAGTATGCTGCAACCTAAGGGAGGAATTCTTTTTTATACGAGGGCTGTCCCATGGAAAACCGGAATTTGGCTGTAATTTGAAAACTATTCAATATTTTCACATTCTGTAAACGCATATTTGTAAAACAATTATTTAGGAATTTCCCGATTGAGCACCATGAGCATCGCACAAACCAAATGAACACAGCAGTTCTCCAAAGATGGCTATCCCCTTGGAAAATTGGTCAAGGGTAGAAGTGAGGTCTCTCATTCGGTTTCTGACCGTAAAAGGTTTCAAACCTATAGAAATAGACACTGAAATAATATCAGTTTACGGGGAGAAAGTAATGGCAAAGTCAAAGGTATATGAGTGGTGTTGTAAGTTCAGAGCCGGGCATACGGATGTCAATGACAAATTCATGCAGGACCTTGTTTTTCTGCCAGGACTGAGGACAACAAGAGTCGCGTTAACAAACTCATTCAAACATACAGGCGCCTAAAAATTCGCGAAATTTCCGAGTCATTAAACATTTCAAAGTCGACTGTCCATAGGATAGTGTTTGATGAGCTGCACTGTCGAAAGGTCTCTGCTCAATGGGTCCCAAAAGAGCTGACAGCTAACCACAAGACGCAACGTATTGAAGTGTCTCAGACTTTGTTGAATCGGTGTCGCCAAGCTGTCATGGGAGTCATGAACGCATCTAGAGACCTCCGAAAATAATATAATGAAGCATTCCTGAGAAGCATTATTATAGGTGATGAGACTTGGATGCACCACATGACCCCTGAGACGAAGAGGGATTCAATGGTTCGAAAGCACACGTCTCCACCTCCCACGAAAAAGTTTAAAGTTCAGCCAACGGTGAAGACACTCATAGCCACGGTTTTCTGGGGTGCTAAGTGTGTTTTGCTTTTTGACATTCTGGAACCAGGACAAACCGTTAATGGTAAAAGATACTGCCAGACTCTCGATAAGTTGAGAGAGGTTGTGCGCCGAAAAAGACCAGGCTGATTGTCCAGAGGGGTCATTTTGCAGCATGACAACGCAACGCCACACACCGCAAACTCTACGAAAGACAGGATCCAAAGCCAAAGGTTCAGCTGGGAATTTCTGCCACACACCCCTCATAGTCCTGACTTGGCCCTGTCAGATTATCACCTTTTCAGACAAATGAAACGCCATATTTCTGGACAGGGATTCACCGATGCAAAGACCTCATGGAAACCGTGAAAGATTGGTTGGAATCCCTTCACGTAAAATTCTTCAGAGAGGGTATCTACTCCCTGATCCAGCGATGGAAAAAATACGTCCAGTGGGATGGTGATTACATTGAGAAATAAAGCACATCTTGATGTTACATTTCTATTATAATAGAACAAAGACTGTTGCTTTTATGGACCTTTTCTGGTTTTCCGTGGGACAGCCCTCGTACCATACAAATTTCTCAGAGATGAAGAGACAAAATTGCATTTTACTTTTAACATGTAAAAATGGACGGTGAAAAATCCATTTTCTCCTCACTGTTCAAAATGTCCATCATCAATGGACACATGGTAAGACTGTTTAAGTATTAGCCTATGTCTCCTTATGCGTGACGCGACGTTTAGTCGAGCGTGACAGTGGCCAGTGATGAGTCACGAGGTGTGTATCCTTATGTGTGACCACATCGCGCCGGAATTTTCAGTCTAGTGCAACAAAAGCGACAAAACAGTCTCCTTATGCATGACGCGACGTTAAGTCGCGCGCGACTGGCTAAACCCTCGTGTGATTGGCAATTCACAGAAGAAGAGACAGTGGCAAATTTTAAAGTCAAGATGGACATGGAAAAACAAAGTTTGTCAGATGGAAGTTTTACGAGCCGCTGACATTTTAAATTCCATACATGACCAGTCCCGTGTAAGTCCTGCTCCTCCACCTCCTTCCCTCTCCTCCTCCTTCTCCTCCTGCTGCCCGTCCAAAAAAAACAACAACAAATAAAACAACAAAATTAGATTCACAAAACTTGCATTGGGTCAATTGAAGATGAACGTCCTAAACACACACACACAGACACACGCACACAAACACAAGTGTCGACAAGCACTCCTTGGCTAGATATTTTAGCAATGCCACTGAAAATTTAGTTTTTTCGCTTTAGCCCTTTTTTATTTGGTACCGAAGAAAGAATTTTTAATTCTGAGAATTATACTTCTTGAATTTTAAGAATCGGTTCATTAATAAAAAAGTTATTGGGTTGTAAAGGTCGGCAAAATATGGATGACCCACATATATAAGAAAATATCCAAAACGGTGGACCACGCAGTAGCAGATTCTGTAAGATAATCGACGATATCTCGGTAATTAATTGAAGTGTTAGAGAGAAACTTGGCTATCCGATGTGTTTTTGGGTGAAGAAATAATTTCTGTTGTCAGATTTACTAACCATTTCATAGTTATTTTGTTATAATTAAAATTTTGGTGTACATATTACGATTTTGCGAAAAAGGGGTGTCGGGATGAGTTCATTTTATTTATAGCATCTTATCACAACACGGGATCTTTAAGAATATATGTTAGCAGCGTTACTAAATAATGGCAAAGCTTTCTTTGATGACTTTAGACCATGCCAACCTTAAAAGATAAGTTAATTCAAACTACTATGCCGTACAAATAAAAATTATTTTTCCCAGTTGAGACGCGAACACCCCGAGGCGAGATAAGCTCGCCTAGGAATAACCCCATTGCGATGTTACAGGGGAACAGAGAGAAAAACAACCAGATGCGAGCGACCGCCATTGCCCTATTTTCAAGTGACCAATGAACGGGCTCTGAATAGTCATGCGCCGATTTATAGGTCACATACATTTGCCACGAGCAGAGATGCCAACCACAGAAAACCAAATTGAGTATTGGGAGATATGAAAATGTGTATTTTCAGGGGTAAATGTGTATTCTCCACGACCGACCGACCAACTAGTGAAATGTTCAGGGTGTCCAGCAATATTTCCAGAAAAAAAAAATTACTAGATCACCAGCTCAAAAAAGGGAGCACACACGCGTACAATATACATATATCTAGTCAACAACATGTTAGAGTTCAGTGTCGTACTGGAGTCTTGTTTGACTTAAGTATTTCAGTCTGTTATAATAATTTCCTCTCATTATTATTATAAAAAATTAATCCTGTTTTGAGCGTTCGGAAGGGCCTAAAACAAGAATTTCGACAATCAAGAAACAGTCTGGGTGTCATGATTCATAATATGAACTGACTGAGTCAGATTATTGCTCAAACTCAGAGAAGAGCAATAACTTGAATGGCTCAAGTAGACCCGTGCACTGTGAGAGTTGTAACAACTGTGGTAGGGCAAGATGCAGTGACACTGAAAATCTGCCAGTCTTGAACAGAAAGCTACAACATACACTGTAGGTATAATTTACTATCACCCATCCAATGACACGCGAACATTTTATTTCAATAACACAGACTTGCAAAATATGAAGGGTCCCGATTCCGCCCACGGCCTGCACCAACGCACGCTTTGCAGAGAGCTCTAATCAAAATTCTGAAATTTGCCTCCAAGTTTTTGTCCTCCGGTGTTGCCTTCACACCTCCTCCCCCCCCCCCCCCCTCGAATATATTTTTTTAAAATCAATAATTCCCTCCTGTAGTCCTATACTTGGCAACGCCGTTACTCCCACCAAACACGGTACTGGTTGGCATCTCTGCGCGAGAGTGAGGGGAAAATGGCCGGTCTCCGTGCCAAGCCGCTTTGGATAGGGGGGTAGCCGTGCATTTATGATCAGGTCTAAACAACTACTTGACACAGAACGTTCAAATTTGAGCACACTATAGAGGATAGATAGATCTATTACCATCTCGGCGTTGAAATTCAAGCTCCTTATAGTTTTCGGTACACCCGATATGAAAGTGTTCCCGACACCAAAAATATGGTTAATTTATGCGTACGAACTTCAACGTCCACATATCATTAGTTTGCTCTATTTTCTGATTGGTTGCCAAGTTTCATTCACATTGGTCTAGAAAAAGAGCAGACCCAGGTTGACAAAGTTAGTCACCTACGCTATGACCCGGTCCAAAAATTCACCCGCAAACGGGGACCAATTTTTCACTGTGCTGGAAAACCCGATTGGCATTGCTAGATAGTTTGACCAATGTTGATGCTCTAAACCTGTCACACCCCCAGTCTGTCATACATGGACCAGGACCAGACGCCACGAGATGCATCGCGTATAAGGAGACAAGCTCTTAGGAACTTGTATGTACATGTTTTCATTATGTAAACATGTATATCACAGAACAAGCAAACATGCACAAAATATCACTAATAGACGGATCTGAGGCAATTTTAAGAACCAACAGGACAGCATCAACAACAGACAGGCTGACAAGAGGTCCACAAGGCAGTAAAATAAACATTAGGAGGAAACAAAAAGTTTAGTCACCCTTATATTACCTGGATCTTTGGTTAAATCGAGAGAAAGGGTATTTCTATAATAAAATGAGTTTTAAAATACACAATGTCATGTCCTCCTCACCTGAGGGTGGAGAGGTTTCTCTTGTTTCCTTTTTTGCCTTCACAACTTCTTTGTCCAGAAGTTTCCTGTCTTTACTCTCTGCCTCTTTCTCAGCTTCTTCCTCCGCCACTAAAAACAATACAATATTCACATTAGCAAAACTATGGGGTGACAACACAGTCACAGGGCTGGAATTTTTATGAGAAAAATAATACATCATTTTTGTGACACTAAATCGCATTCTTTGTTTCACCCTAAAACAATATGAAAACTGTAAGTACTTCCCCCAATCCCAGTTCAATAATTCACAAATTAAGACTACTAAATGTTAAGTCACTCAAGAACCTGTTTTTGTCTCAAATGAATATTAGTCAAGAAAATTTATGTCACTGTCATATGGGTTTCAAGAGACCAGTAGAGAGGAAAGGAATGCACTCTGGCCTCCTGAACCTACTTAATTCACAGTAAAAGAAACTTTCACACCACAGACATATAGAGATATATTTGAACTACCATACAACAATACACAAAAGTGGAATAAAATTCATAAAATTTTTGAGAAATGAGATATTTTTGATTAGACTCTTTTAAAATGGGATAGCTTGTCCATCATGAATCTCTTGCCCAGATCAGAATACAATTACCTTGAAGTAAAGATTTAAGCTGAGAGTCTTTTTCTTTGACAGTGCTTGTGCCAGTAGAAGCAGATGTCATTTTCGTGGTGGTTGTAGTGGTACTCGTAGCTGCTGTGTCCGTGGAGACTGCTGTTCCTGCTGCTGTGGATGATTTCGCTGCTGCTGCTGCACCAGCAGCAGCATTTTCCCTGAGCAGCGATTTCTTCAGCTCCATCAAACGCTTCTGCCTCTCCAGTTCCTCATTCTGAGCAGAGAGCATTTCCTTGTCCAAGTCTTTCTCACTTAAGATAGACCTAGAGAGACAATACAAGGGTTAAGATAGCAGTTAAAAACAAAAAAGGCAACTGTCCAAATGATACCAAAAGATTTACCCTTGAAACGCAAAATATATTAGGTTTACTCTACACACAATCTCTATTTGTTCCTTTACTTAGTTATCAATACAAACAATCTGTTTACAAAGTTTTAGGTTCAGTAAGAGTTTTACGACACTTGCAAAACAATAAGGTCATATAAGTGCCGAAGAATAGATTACGTGTTACAAGAGAGTAACATACACAAAAAAGGAGGGGAGATAAGGATGACAGATGTTTGATAGGAAAGAAGGAGCAAACCACACCAGAGCACCCACCAACCACCCACCTGTTTAGAAAACGAAATGACTGAAAGTGACAAAAAGCAACTTGGTCATTGTATAACTATGCTTTTATGGCCATACTGAAAGTCATCCACGGTGATTTAATCCACATGTCTCAGCTATAAAATGCTTTTATCATATAATTTAGCATGCATCATGAGTGTGCAAGTTCTTACAATTATTAACAATTTTGGCATATAAATTTCTTTTCACAAAAAAAAAACCTATAGAGGTGGTGGGTAATAACAGCTATTTGTGGAGGGACAAAGATACTGTTCTGAGAAAAGGGAAAATTAATTTTTAAAAGTAATGCGCACCTAATATTCCTACGTCGCATTTGGGTAGGCCCTCCTTTGGGCATTTTGTCATCCGGTTCCTCCTCATCATCCTCGTCAGCGCTGCCCTTCTTTCGCTTTCTCTTGCGTTTTCTTTTCACTGGTTTCTGTACACCCTCAGAACCACCACTTTTTTCCTTTGCTTTCAGCTTTTTCTTCTTCTTCTTCAGTCCCTTCACCTTCTCACCATTCTTACTTCCCTCCACAGACAGATTTGAATCTGGTTCTTCATCATAGAAAGACACCTGTCCAAACACACCCTCCTCCACATCCTCCCCTTTGTCACTTCTGTCATTGCTCCCTTCATTTTCATCGTCATCACTTTCATCATCCCCACCCTCGTCATCATCAGAGTCATCTTCATTCAGCTCAGAATCATCATCATATTCTGAACCTTCAGACATATCTTGCTCTTCTAAAAACGCCAAGTCTTCATTTGCCACCTCCATTTTATCCCCCTCCACCAAAAAAGATAGTCCATGTTCTTCACCAGACGCATCCTTAGTCTCTGCACCTTCCAAAAATGACAAATCTGCAGTGAAACCAGTTCCTTCAATAGCATTTTCATCCATTTCATCTCCAACTTGATTTGCCAATGCCAGAATGTCATTGTCAATCATGCCCAGATCACTGGGTTTTTCTTTCTGTTCGTCCAGAAAGGACTCCAGTGATTCGGGAAGATCTGAAAGAGCAGCTGACATTTTGTCTGCCTCACTGCTGGACTCCACCAGATCTGCAACCTTTTCCATTCTCTGGATTATTTCAAAGGCTGCCTTGGGGAGAGCATAAGACACTGAAAATTCTGAAAAGATAAAGAAACACCAAAACAAAAGAATCAAAAATACATCACTACAAAAAGTTACAAAACCGTTGCTTGTTCTACATGTGAATACTAAATATTCTCTTTTCTCAAGACACAAAGGTTTTCAAATAAGACCTTCCCCTTACTTTCAGTTCTTAAGTTGTTTCTTGTTTTTTTAAGCAGAAAAATAGCACCGCACCTGGTCTCCCAGCCTACCACTTATTTAATATCCCCCAGAATTTCAAATCGATCAAAATTGTTGCTCTTTTACAGAGTTTTCAGAAAAAATATTTTTTCACCAAAAATGTTTTAGTCACAAACCTATCAATGTACAGCGACGGTGGCCCCTCTCCCCATCCCAACTCTATCCCAAAGCAAATTAAAGTTTCTTAAATGACGAAATAAGCAGTTGAAACCGTTATGATTGCATGCAATGAACACAGAGTGATCAACTTAGAGGCTTGCTCATTTATCCAATCACTGTTGTCACTGCTTATAACTCTATAGTAACCTAACAGCAAATCAATGTCTTTAAATACGCCCTTCCTTAATGAAACTCTTCTTTCAAAAAGGTAGAAGATTTGAAAAGAGAACACTGTACTGAGGGCTCACGCTCCCCTAGCCCTGACAATGGGGTGAAAGTTAACGACACACTTTCCCCCAGAGACACAGTTACCTATGCACTCATTGGACCTTTGTTAGTCTACTTTTCGGGAATACACAGCCTTTTCCAGTTCATAGGTTTACGGAATATGTTCGAAGTGCTGATCACCTGGTGTGGATCACTTAAAATATTTTCCATTCAGTTTACATTCTAAGTAATTATGATGACTCAAATTACCTTAAAAAGGAGGACAATCATGAGAACGTCTTGTCTCTGGATCTTGCAACTATAATTCAGCTTTAGAATCTCTACTCATGACATGATGCAAACTAAGATCCCGATTTAGAGGCCTGAGTTAGAATCACATCATTTTATAACAAAGTGGTTAGCCGTACTTAAGTACTGTGTCTCTGCCAGTCTAGCCGTACTTAGGTTTGGCCCTATCGACTAAAACCTGTTAAGTACACAGGTCTCATTAGAACTAGATCTAGTAATTATTCAGGTTCAAATACATGCAAGTCAGTAACGCACCTTTTGGTTTTGTCTGAAATACATTGCAAACTAAACATTTCATTTACAATTCAGCCATCAATAAGACGGCTAGACTGAAGTACGGCTAGCCTGGCTGTCTACCCGTACTTAATTACCTGTACTGCCAGTCTAGCCGTAATTATCTTAGGCCCTATTAACTATTAACATTAGAAAACAGCAGGTTTAAAATACATGCGCTGTCATTGGGACACCTGGTTTCGTCTCAAATACAAATACTTTAGGTACTGCAAACTAAAAATTTATATTTACAATTCAGTAGGCCTATTTTTTTTAATGGTCAGTCTAGCCATCATAAGAATAAGTACGGCTACATGGTCATTAAGTACGGCTAGCCTCTTCCATTTTATAATCTACTTTGAGTCTTGGCTACAGTTATAGTTATAGCCTACTGATCTTGGGAGAAATTTCACATGATCTTATATATGTCTGGGATAAATAAAATTATCTAAGACTGCCATCCATTGTCTTAGACAGGTGGAGGTCTTACACAGTAGAGAATCATTATATAATCAATACAAAAATAAGCCTACACAAAAGGGAAGAAATAGGGAAACGACCGTTCGTATAGGTATTGTCGTAGAAATAGCCATTTGAGCATGTTTAACTAGAAAATGCCATCCTTAAAGACTAATGAATTGGGTAAAATCAGAAAGCTTTATGAATGAAACTATTTATCAGATAGTATATAGATCTAATATATTTTAAACCTTTTCTCATAAATTCAAAACTGTGGTTAGCATTCTTTTCCATCATATTGGACTCAAAACCAACTCCCCTCTTCCTTCGCCTTCTGCCACTGTCAAACAGAATATAGTCAAGTAATCACCTTGAATATCGGGGCCAGAAGTAGATCTACAGAAACTTAACTTTTTAAGTAAAAGAAAGACCTCTTTTGTTGGGAACAAACATAAACTAAGTACCCTCAAGCCTCAAGCGTTTTGTTTTAGGGAGTGTATACAGACCCGGTAACCGGGAACAAAGTCACGAAGTATACAGAACCGGTAGGGGAAATCTTTTGTGTGATTTTGGAAAGTTCCAGCACCCTCTTGGCTCAGGGTAGACTTAGGTTCTTCTAAATCTAAGGCCTAGATCTAGATTCTAGATCTAGACAGACAGACATTCTAGTTTCAAGGCCTAGATCTAAATGAAGATTGCGGATGTTTTTTCTTTCGATGAAAGATCGTTTTTGCTCCGTTGGAGGAATCAATGGTCAATGGGACAATTTGAAGAAAAGAACAATGTCATAATTTCAATCAAGCAGTCACCCTCTCTATTTCTCTGTCTATCTCCCCTCTCCTCTGTGTATCGCTCGCCTCCTCTTTCTATTTGTTTACTCTGTCTTTCTTTCTCCCCCACCTACTTTCCTATTCTATCTTTCTTTCGTTCCCGCCTGTCAATTTGGGCATGTGATTTTTGCTAGCACTTCCCCCTGTTCTCTACCCCCTTCTCTCTCTCTCTCTCTCTTCAAAAAACACACACACACACACTCACACCCACACACACTCTCTCTCTCTCTACCGGGTCTGGGCGAACTTTCCGAAATCACGAAAGACTTCCCCGACCGGGTCTGTATACTTCGTGACTTTGTTCCCAGTTACCGGGTCTGTGTATACACTTCGTTTGTTTTATTAACAGGCTTCGAATGTTGTTTTGCCATTGTAGAGTAATTTATACTATAAAACTATACACTTCTACTATAAAATGGTGTTCAAATGTCTAGCCTTTTAAGTTTAAGTACTTCAAATCTAGATCTACTATGTATCATAATCATTACTGAAACTCATATAATTGGGTAGATCTCAATGAATATGATGATTAGGCTGCTATAGCCTATAGAGTGCATTCAACAAGGAGAAATAAAGGCCACAATTTACCTGATTTTACCACAATTTCCCTGAGTTTTGCAGTTGTTAGGCCACAGTTAGGTTTGGTATCTTAGCTTGCGGTGCATCAAACGTATAGATCTAGATGTAGGTCAGGCTCAAATAAGGGGGGGTGTGAACTAGGCTACCAAAAAAGCACTGAAATAAATTCTATCTTGATCCTTACAGAATTGTGAAATGGATTAGGCCTATCCAGGATGAGCAAGGCCAAGGTGGGGATTTATCATTTGGTTTTAAAACTGTAGCATTTTTTTACCAGTGCAAATAATAACATACCTTATTAATTTTTTAACATCCAATAGCATCATGATGATGTTCAAATTTCAACGACTGACTGATCTACTAATCTAGATTTAGTATAATGTAGGCTAGATTAGTCTAACGTGTAGAATCTACTGAATAACAGTCGGGGTTGTTGTTCTCAGTAAATTCAGTTCAGGCAGGCTCATGGAGGGTTGGACTTGGACAGGTCTACTGACATTGACAGACCGGCGCACTTCTTGGGATTGTAAAAGTTACCTTAATAATACATATTATGGTCACGTCTTTATCATTTTATGAGATGATGTCTCCAACTCGCACGAGTGTCAAACATCTCGGCAAGTGAACCTCCGTCCACAGAAAGAGTTCATGCCCTGGATGGGGATTTGGTTCTGGCATTGTCTTCTCACCGCTCGATCGTACTCGTTACTAAAAAAAGAAAAGAAACACACATATAAGATACAACTACCTAAGAACTCACCTTCAGTGATATTCTTTGCTTTCACACCTCATTTTCTTCAAATAGATTAGATAAATCAAACCAGGTATCAAGTGAAAATCTAAGTTTACAGCTTCGAAGAAAGCTCGATATCCATTCACCCCATTGAGAATCGACTAGAGGGAATCCCCTTGCTTTCTCACTTCCGTCCATCAATAATAGGAATTCTGGGATATCCCCTGGTCCTCAGATCGAGAGAGTGACCTACTTTGATAATAATAAATAATCAAGGAAGCTGGATAAGCATGCAGGATAAACAGCGTTGAATTTTTGGCTCTCGTTGTGCTGAATAAATTAGAATTGTCAATGACGCCCTGCGCGTTTAGCGGGCTTCCCTTGCTCTCGAAAAGAAACAGTTATGCAACTACTTACATAAGTGATAACAAAAATCGAAGAAGTCCGTCCACCTGTACTTGAGATTTTTTTTTCTTTTGATTGTTTCTTCCACGTGGTTTTCTTTTCTTTAAAAAAAATATATAATGCATTCCTTGGAAAAGGCACGTAATCGTGGTCACGTACTTGAAAAGAAACCTATATGTGTACATTTAAAGATATTCTTTTAGGGGGAGGGGGAGAAATTAAGATACAATCGATCATAGGCCGCCAGAAAAAGAATACCCTGTGCAGACTCGCGGATCCACGTGCCTCCCCCTTTTTTTGTATTAGGAAAAAATGTACATTTTTGAGAATTTGCAATCGCACATGTGTGTTTCTCTGAAGGGAATGACAGGGCGAGAATATCTTAGTTTAAATACTGATATAATCAAGATTCTCATCTTACAGTAAGCCCTACACTTTTGAAGAAGGCCACGGATTACGCGGTTTTTAATGTTATAATAAATAAAACACTAGATCACCCACCGCAGTCCAATTTGTAGGCCTATTTAAAATTACGTGGTCCTACTCTTACAATAACATTATATATGAAAATACACTTTTCTGCTGGATGCAATACAAAGAATAGATATAAGTAATTATAATAGAGTAACTTGATATCTATGGGCAGTCTGCAAACAATATATTATTATAGCCGGATACGCACTACAGTAACTTTTGGTCAGTGACGTCAACAGAGGCAACGTTGTGCGTACAGATCGATGATCTAACCCACAATACATCTTTGTTGATGCAATGTAACATACATGTAGTTGTGTATAGCTCAGTTCAATTCAAACAAAGCTATGCGTTTGTAATTATGTACTATCGGTGAAAATGAAAGTAAAACTAGGTGAGTTCTAAAGACTATGCTATTATGAACTCATCGAGTCTCGAGGGCTTTCAATGCGCTGTCTGCTTGTGATTTTTCATCTGATAGAATCTAGATATTCAGCCGTAATTGTCCCGTCGAACATATTTATTCATCTATTCATGTATTTATTAATTTGTTTGATTTGCTTAAAAGAATTGAAGAATTTCATATCGGATCTAGATTCTAGATCTCTAATACCGGGTACATGTATTTGATTTTTTAACTTAATTGATGGACACTCTGGACTCTGCACCTCTAAAACGGGGCCTCAGTAAATGGCCAGGGCGTGTGCCCTACACAGTATTATATCCTTCTGCAAACTTAACTCTATGATCACAGGGAATTATTGGTGATTGTCGTAGCGAAGGTTTGTTTGTTTTATAAGTCTCGTTCCACATTCTAATGAGCACACCTTTTGTTATTGTATTAGCATGAGCCGTGTATGTAATCTGAGAGTGTTCCATTTGAAAGAAAGCTCGTGAAAATAATTTTGTTTTTCCAAGAAGGACACACACAAATCTCTCTCTCTCTCTCTCTCTCTCT